AGACAATCGTAATCCATCCAACGTACCGGAAACCTTACTTTTTTTCTAAATAGTTGGCCGAAGACTGAGAAATATATTAAATGCAAGAATTTCAATCTGAATGTGTCGACAAGATCTTCTGAAGGCGAAAATTTGGCTACTGAAGTGTCGCCAAAGATCTTGCTATATTCATCCACTCTCTGCACAGTGGCTTTGGTAGTATATCTCTTAGTCTTAGACTCTTACTCTCCACACACTGTAACTTAGGCGTAACACACATTGCAACTGATTTCTGGACAAGCTTCACTGCATCCTGATCAAGCATTGAAAACATCTGCCTTTAGGGCCGCAACTAGAGGTTTCCCGCCATTTCTGAAACCGCGAGATTTCCGTCAGATGAATTACCTCCTATCCAAATGTTAACAAAAGTGCGATATCGAGCCGCGAGATTCCAAATGTATTGAAAATTCGTCATGTTGAAGCCGTGAGATTTCAGAAACAAATAGAAAAATTCCAATCCTGATCCTGATCATACTACGGCGCATAGTGGCAAACCAAAGATTTTTTAGAATCAGTTCATTTTTAATTGCCTCATTTACTCAAGATTTAAACCAATTTCTTAAGTATGATAATGCTGGTATCCAGGATACTTTACTGGTCTACTTATAGGACTCAAAAATGAACTTGAGGGAGAGTCTAAAAAACTCTCTGCTTTGCCACTATGCTACGGCATACTGGAAACCTTACTGTGTCTTTCAGATTTGCAGTAATTACAACGTAATTTCTAAATGCAACAATTTCAATCCAAATGTGTTGGCAAGATCTTCAGAAGGCATAAATTTAGTTGCTCAGCTGCTCATGCATCACCAAATATCTCTCAATATTCACCCACTTTCAGCACCCTGGGAGTGGAAGGAACAAATTGAATGTACCTAGTATCTTGCAGTCTGAAGTTGCAGAGTGTGGACTCAGACTTATGGTGGAATTTTATGGGCACTAGCACTAGTGGCCTGGCCCCTATTTAGAAAGAATAGCAATGCAATGACAAACCCCTCAATCCTCATAAATCATGATTCCTGCAACAGTTCAATCCTGTTTGACAGTACTGCCCAGGTTGTTCAACTGGTGGAAAAAGACAACGGTCAAAATCGCTAACAAAAACGGCCTAAAACAGCTAAAGCACAATAGTTATTAGTAAATTTGTAAAATAAAGCACGACAATTTAATAATTGGAATGTTTTACACATTTGAAAGTACAATAATTATAGGGCCAAAATATCTATTTCGGTATTTGCCGATCATAAAATACTTCGAAAAAAGGCCAAAATTGTGTTAATTTGGCCGTAGTAAAGTTACAACCACGGCCCAGACGATTCAACCATAACACAGGAGTTACGTCAGGAGCATATGGCTTACCCTAAACACCATATATATATATATATATATATATTATTTGAAATTTTCATTACAATTTTATAAAAAAAATGATAAATCACATTCTTATTATGAATATTGATTTCTTTAAGAAAATAATAAAAAGTTTCACCTTATGTGATAGTAATAAGTTGAATAAATACGTACTTTTTCTCATATTTAATGAATCTACTATATTTGAATGTAGTTGTAATTTATGTTGGAGGATTTCATATCTGAGTAACTTTTTATATAGTTTATACATTGACAGACATTCAGAGGAACGTAATGTGCATACACTTCGACACCAAGCAGAGGTGTACGCACAAAATAACTATATTTCAGATTATTTACAAGCGTTCAAATTTAAAATGAGAGGTAGCGATTGAACTTCGACCGGCTGTGTAATTTAGAAAGCTATGAAGTATGATGCCCAATTGCCCATCGACATATTGTAAGCACTCTAGTGACTCGTGTATAGAATTAAGATTCTTGAATGACATTCTAAATTAAAATCAATATTACGATACGTAACCCGGATATTAAAAAACACAAGCAGCTTGAATGAAAATTGTAACGTCTTGTTATAGGCAATTGGCACTCTATGTAAAATTCCCATCGTCAAAACTCTAAAGTCGTTAAAAATTAATGACAATATTAGTAGCAGTTACCCCTCAAAGAGAAAAATTCGTTCTAAGGGGTACCACTCTAAATAATACGGTCCACTGGTCAGTATTGAAGTCAACTAAATATCAAAACAAATTCTTAATTTCTGACCATCAAGCAGAACGGTCAAGCTGACTCACTTCAACCAATCAACTGAAAACCTCCACGATTATCGAGGAACTATTAGTGAGCCTCTATCGCTGATCACACCTATTCAACACAAGTAACTCAGTCTTAAGGAATTCGGAAAAATTATCCGTCACTTAATTGGCGTGGAAGGAACAACTGCTTCTCAATATTGAATTCATAAACGCCAGCCATTAAATCGTGTAAAAGGTTCTATGGTAAACAAGGCATTTCCGTACCACTGAGAAGTTTATCGCCCTGCTCGACCAAAAAGTTATCAATAAACAGCTACGAACTTTATACCCATCACTGGAAAGTTTATAGGGGCTAATTGAGACAGGAACCGTTAGGATCATGGGTTAAAATTTTTCAAATTTTGTCACTGTCGCAAATGAAATGCTGTTAGAAGAAAAGCACCCACCCCAGGTCGTGGCGTATGCCGTGCATGAATATACACACGTTTCTTTCTTTATTACTAGCTAGCAAGTGAACATGACTTCCTTACAGCAACAGAGAATGAAAGTGCACATATGCAACTTTCCAGCAAAAACAACTTACTGTTTTTAAAATGTGAAGATATTTTCATGAAGAAAATGAATAGTGAAATCTATCCGAGACTTTTTTTTACATGGACATGCTGTTGACTGCAAATTGAACATTGACTGCAATGTTGGCATTTGCACAGAAACATTCGATAACGCCAACTAGTCGTGACGACTTGAGAGGAAAATATATTTTCGAGATCAAGCTACGTTCTACTCATCATAACCGATGTAATGGACTAGGGCACATTATTCTCAAACAGATGCTCAATAGAGGAATCGGAGGATTTCACAAATACAGTCCTCTAAATATATATCCTTGGAAATTGACAAATAATTGAATAAAGAAAGGAAGGAACGCCAGAAATAAGACACCCTATCGGTCGACAATGAACCATAGTGCTATCCATACCTCCATGAAATGTGCCTTTCAAGGCGATTCCATCGTCTAATTTGTATTTGAACAAATATTATAGTTTTCTACGTCAATCTGCAATGTTAAATTTGTGTGATAACATTTGAATTAGAGCCATACAGCGGTAGTAGGTACAATTCGGAAACTTGCGTGATAAGTCAGATAATTGATACACATGTTTAATGAAAAAGCTCAGCTCTGCCGACACATTGGAGAGAGTATGGAGTACCGTTCACTATGGTTCACAATGGACAGCGATAACTTATAACAGCAGTTGACACACCCGAGGCAAGCTAGGCTTTTAGTTGCAACAACATAAATGGCTCGGCAAAACCTTTCACTGTCCGTCCAAATCAGGTAGAAAAACAATTAGGAACTATAAAAATTTCCGCTGTAATTAGTTTAACGAAAAGAAGCGATTCAGAGCAAAGAATGGCTCGAAACGTAATATGACCACCCAGAAAGCTAAAGGCGAGGCTTAAGCTAGCGTCTAACAGTCAGTCCTCTTATTATTATTAACAATTGGCAATAAGGAGCCATTAAACCTCTGACGGATCGCATCTTCGCTCATGCGTCATTCGATCCGGTGTACTTAGCAGGGAGAACCATTGATGAGCCTGACACAGCAAGTCGCTCCGGTCACTTACTGGCAACTACACCAAGCCTGAAGACACAATTCGCTGAAATACCTTTATTAAAGTGAGATATTTTGTTTCTTTCAGTATCTTATCAGCGCATGTAATTGTAATGTTATAAAAATGCCCATCTAAAGTAAAGCTGTATATAACGAGCAACTGTTCACTAGTAACATTAAATCCATTAGGGCGATTACAGAGTAATGACAAGAATGCATGAAAAGAGTAGCTGAACACCCAAAACATAACGAGATTATCTCCACTAATTTATAACGAAACTTGCAGCAAAATAAAGGTAAGAGTGAAGTCCCAAAAATATTGAATATCAGCTATTAATGTTAAAACACGAGTATATACAAATTTGTATTTGTTCACCACATTTGTCCACCTCGACCCCTCCAGCCCCGACCTGAGAAACCAGCACCACCACGTCCTCGAAAATTAGCACGCGGTGAGAAGTTTGGTGCCGGACTCCCGCGCATGCGGAACGGCGACATACCTCCGAGAGGGGACTGCAGCACAGGCTGCGGAGTGCGCGCATGAAACGTGTTCACGAAAGGAGATCGTGGGGCGGCCTGTCTTTGCGAGAAAAAAGGTCTCGGTGGTTGACCACGAATGCCTGGCGGACGCACATGCCGAAGAGGCGCGGGCTGAAAGCCAGGGCTTGTCATGTGAACCGGTTCAAGATCGCAAGGCGGTTCCCCAAGCAGACTGTCAGATATTTCACTTTCTTTGGAAAGAAAACGAACAGGGCTTCCTAAGCGTAGATTAAGATTATTTTTATTCGAAACTAAGCCCTTGTTCGGTCCGCTTGGCACAAGAGTTGTTTCTTGTGGATCGGAGGAGCTGGGAATGCGTGAATTCAGAGCTGGAACAGTTGTCGGCGCTTGAGTTTCTGGGATTTCAGACTTCTTACGTTCACCACTAATGAGAATTTTTATAGCATTCGTTATATTACTGAAATTCGGTGGTTCAAAAATCGATTCATTTCTATCACATTCTAGATCGCCGTAAATATCATCAATGTTGGCGATCTTTGTCTCGTGGCTTGCGTCACCGGGATCGTGATCTGCATAAACGCCCGGGACTTCTTTCTGGTCAGCATGAGCTGCCACAGATGTTACTGTGTCAATAACATAAACATCAGGATCTGAACGAGGCACCGGTTTCACAGAGGTTCTATCGAGATTTTCTCCTCGTGATAATGAATCATCCAGCAAAGTATTTTTTCCAGCTGTTGATGAAGAACTTGAAGAATCATCACTGCTTTCATCCGACTCTATCTTCTTATCTTTTTTGGTTTTGGGTTCAGAACGAGCATCCGACGGTAGCTGACGCTTCCGAGGTCGTTTGCGGCCAGACCGATCTCGCTCATCGTCGGACCCTGAAATGTCCATATCAGATCCCGAGTTGTAGTGCGGTCCTGACGCATCAGGATCTTTAGAAGTGATCGGTGGTGGCGGGGCTTCAGACAATGACCGATAGTCGTAACAGTGGTAATCCTCCTGAGGTGAACTTTGATCGCCATCTGACTTGCTGTGATTATAACTCTTACGATCGAGTTCAGGAGTGCGCATGGTTGGTATAGCTCGTAGGTTGCTTGTCGCTTGAGATTCTGATCTGTTGTCATCAAATCGGCGCAACCCAGACATAATACCATCAGCCCCAGATAAATTAGATTTGCGATCACGAGAAAGAGCATGTCTGGTGGTTTCATGAGAGCCATCAGAGAATTCTGGGCCGTCTGAGTATGCATGATTGTCGGAGAATGCTGGGCTATCAGAGAATGCAGGGCCACCTCCACCGTGCATATCAGTGAAATGAATGCCTTGAGCAGCAAGCTCCTCGTTGCCCGGAGGTTCCCCCCAGTTGATGTTGTCGTGTTCCTCTTGCGGCTCGAGGTCTTCATACGGCCAGCTGGAAGCATCGTGGCCATGAGGCCAATAGTTGGCAGCTGCTGAGCTCTGGGGCACGTCGCCGTAGGTGGAAATGCTGGGCGGTGGGGGCGGAGGTGGAGGAAGAGGAGGCGGTGGAGGCGGAACACGCCATGCTTTCCCAACACTATTCGATGGGATAGATTCCTTGACGGAAGGAGGAGGATCTAGAGGAATGGGCGGGGCAGAGAGAGGAATGGGCGGAGCAGAGAGAGGAAGGGATGGCGGCAGGAAAGAAGGAAGAGTAAGTGGGGGAGCAATTGGAGGAGGGTTTATTGGGAGCCCCGGAGGAAGGGGACCGGGAGGAAGAGAAGTAAGGGTCACAGGAGGAGGACGAGATGAGGTGGGGACAGGGGGTGGCGTAGGAGGGATTGGGATGGCACTGAGGGAAGGGGGAGGACACCCTGGTGGAGGGACGGGCATCGGTAGCATGGCAGGTGGGGCAGCAACGTCCATTGAAACAGAGCCACGTACGTGTAAGGGCCCGTCTCCAGCAGGAGGCATACCCTGCTCGCGGAGCTCCTTACCAAAGGCGTCCAGGAGCTCAGCAGCGCTCATGGGCCTGTAGTCCTGCTACAAAAGCAAAATTATTGGTGAGGATAATTTCACGATGTAATCTTCTTAATTTTTCTTAAATCAACGAACACAAGAACTTTGATAGTCCGAAATGAATTAAGAAGAGAAGAAGTGGTTCATTAGCGACAGTATTCAACTTTGTAACATTCCTAAAATCAGAACAAAACTGAACGTTTGAACGTCAATATCTTGAAAACACCGAACGTTTATAACATAACTGATTGTTTCCATTATTAGCATGAAAATCATTTCACGTGACTAGCTGTATAATCATGTCACGTCAATGAGATGTCAAATTTTCTAGGCAAATGAAGCAGCTGGAGAGTCGCGAACTGCTGGACGTGTGGTCCCGCGAGCTGCTTGCAATGTAGTCCCTTGAACTGTGTTCTCTTGTGCTGCTTGATGAGTGGTCCTTGGAGCTGCTTGATGTGTAGTCTTTAGAAGTGCTGGACGTGTGGTCCTTGGAGCTGCTAGAGGTGTGATTCCTCGAGCCATAATCCCGAGCAGCAGACGAATGGGGCTTGGAGCTGCTGGAGGAGTGATCGCGGCCTACAGCATGATCCTTCTCGCTGGTGCTACTGCTTCGCTCCCGCATGGCCCCGCTGGTGCTGCCTCGCAGCGCGCTGCTGCTGCTGCTGTGGCGGTGACGTTCTTTACTGCGCTCACGACTGTACTCTCTGCTGCTGTAACTTCGACTGTACTCACGGCTGTAGTCCTTTGAGCTACTCCCGTGTTCCTTGCTGCTGCTTGAATAGTCGCGAGAAGTGGTGCTGCTCGAATAATCCTTGCTGGACGAGTCACTAGGTCGCAACGAGTGGCTCGAACTGTTGCCAGGATATCCTTTGGATGAACTCGTGTAATCACTGGCATGGTCAGAGTAAACTTTCTCATTACTTGCATACTCGTTTACGCTGCTCCGGCGATCTGATGCTGCGTACTCTTTACCGCGGCTCGAGTACTCGTCATAAGAACTGTTGCTGGATTTATCCGCAGAGGAGCCTTTAGCCGAGCTATAATAATCATAGGAGCGGCTGGTTTGCTCGTATTTTTCTGGGGTGGAGTTTGAGCGAAGAACGTCGATGCCAGTGAGGTCTATCTCGATGGTGGAGGTGCTGCTGTAGGCGATGCTGCTCGTGCCACCAGCTCCTGCTGACGGGGGCGGGAAAGCAGGTAGCTCATTTATAGAATTTATTTCAGACTCGTGGAAGCTGTACGAGTTTGAAAAAGAATATCCTGAGCTTGGAGGAATGAACTCAAGAGAATCGGAGATGCGATCCTTTTCAGTTGCAGAAGGATCGCTGGGGTATTTGGCGTGGGAGTCGGCAGGGTCTTCGTAAGGAGATTGGGAAGCGGGGAGAGGAGAGAGGTCTCGTGTGGGAGATGAGCCGTCCAGCACAGAGCTGCTTATGTCCGCGTTGTTGAGCATGGTGAGGTGGGAGGCGCCAAGCGCCGCAAGCCTGGTGTCCAGGTCCGTGGGGCGCGACGAGATGCAGTCTGAACCTGGGGGCAGGATGTGAAATTTACACTCAACTCAAAGTATCACAAGTGAATGAGTTCTTAGTGTTAGTATTTTAGAACAATGAAAGAGATACCAGGTCATGAAACTAAATGAACTGTAACATTTCCTCTAACAATTATTCAAGACCACGGAAAAACGGAAAAACGAGAAACAATAGGTCACTGAACTGAAAAATGTTCTTAATCCGAACTAGAGAAAATTAAATCAAATTCGCAGAAATAAATGAGTTGATAGGATATTTTCCTTTATATTTTGCTGCTACATTAAACGCTGAAAAAATGTCATCGTCACGAAATTTTTGTCCTATAAGTTAATGAAGTATTGAAAACAAGATTCATTGACTCACTTGTGTCGCGGGTGGCGTTGAGGTCGTCGTCGGAGTGCGGGGACGACAGTTCAGGGGATGGCAGCGGGGAAGGCACAGTGGACGGCGACGGCGGCTCAAGGAGCGGCGACCCTTCCTCTTCAGGCAGACGCTTGAGCTTCTCCAGCAGCTTCACCTGCAGCGACTTGACGCGCCCACCGAAGCTCTTGTAGGCCTGTCCAGGGACGCATTATCAGGGGCACGAGAGTCTCACTCCCCGACTATTTGTATCAAAATAATCCAGCAGGACAAGTGTGAACAATATAGTTCTGTATAACAGTCGGTAGGAAGTTCGATGTGTTGAATCTTTCAGCACACAAGTATGATAAAAGTTTGGAAACATTGGAATTATACTACGGCGCCCAAACTTACGGCGTAGAACACAATGTAATTCATTTTATTGAAATAAGATGTTAATTATTATCAAATCGTTGGCCATCAAACAGTCTAGTTAAACAAATGAACTTGAAATGATAATAAATAATGCAGCTACAAATTATCTGTAAATATAAGGGATCAGCAAACATTCCATGTCAACCCTCTCATATGATATTGTTAAGATCCCCTGGCATGCACACATACAAATAGATGAGAAATCGAATAAATTAAAATGATTTTTCGATGACCATAACTCCTGAGCTCGCAGACGGAGGTCCCTCTCGTGCACAAAGCCTTCTCAACCCTCTACCGCCGTATGTCACTCTCCGGGAACATAACTTTCAACTTGAATTATACGTAAACTATTGAGTGTAGCAACCTGAGGACGTTAGTACGCAACAGAGAACATTTTAAAGTAACTTTCAACTTGAATTATACGTAAACTATTGAGTGTAGCAACCTGAGGACGTTAGTACGCAACAGAGAACATTTTCTAAGTTGTCGTACGTGGCGGCAACCATCACTGCAAGTCATTTTGCGCTCACTAGGACGTATCCTTTTTGGGAAGTAGGCGCGTGACAATAAGGCTCCGGTTACTCATGTCAGGCGGTAGAGGCAGAAGAAGCATGCAATAGTGTGGCGTGGTGATGATTATGATTGTCCTAGCTCGAGCATCACCAAACTCTAAACTGCCAACACTTGAATCCCTCTTAATTTCGACTCACGTTTCATCTGGGCGCACGTTCTTCCCTAAATTTTCCTACCTTATTCATTCTACTTCAAATTATTCTTCTAAGTTGCTTATTGTAAGGAAATTAGTTTGTTTGACCCGTATTTTATAACACTAGGTATATTCAGTTAGTCGATTTTCGAAGTTCCATTCAATTCGCTCAAGCACATTGAAATGTAATCAACCGTAAGACGAGTTAAAAAATAAAAACAAAATGTCAATCGAATGTAATGCCTCTTTAGGCGGGTGTTTTACATGCAAGAAAAGAGTGAAAATGTTTTCTACCTCAAGATTACAGGTACAAAACTGCATAACAAGTCAAGCGCCTGTAGATACTGTGGTCATGACAAGTGAGGCATGATACCTTATGATACTTTTTAGTGCATTTTCTCATTTATGGAAAAAATGCACTATTGTGCTCGCCATGTCCGTCTGTCTGTCCGTCCGTCCGTGACTTCACGTTTTCGTCGACGAGAAAATGCGCTCTCTGTCACTCACTGCAGTGAGTACTGAATTATATTTTTTTATACTTTACATGTGGGTTACGTTCTGTACGAACGAACTGGGTTAGTGCTTTGTCTGCTCTTAGTATAGTATACACTTGTGTCTGCTCTTTGTCTGCTCCTATAATAATGTACTATACATGTGTCTGCTCTTATAATAGTCTATACTTGTGTCTGCTATTTGTCTGCTCTTATAATAGTGTATAGGCACTTGCGTCTGCTCTTTGTCTGCTGTTATATTAAACGTCCTCAATGCTATTTGTACCAAGCACGTGGTAATAAAATTTAAAATCCATTGACATGACAATGGAGAGCAAACTATATCATAAAAATACATAAATAACTCGTTACATGCAAAACTAAATTATTTATTTAGTTCTTGCGATAAATTAAATTGGTCAATGGAAAAACATTTATGAAATAATTTGTTTCTTTCCAGTTAGCTCTCCACAATGTGCAATATGAGGCATTCACGATGCGTTTAGAAATGAGTTTGGCAATTTCGCGTGAATGCATGAACGGCGGCGCGAAGTTAAATGTACAAAAACTGAATGCCTCCGAACGTTTCTGAAGAAGCCCACATCGCGATTTCCCTCAGTAGGGAGCAGGTGAGGATCGTAACAATAAAGCTGGCCGTTTATTACATTAAAACTAATTGCATCAGCTCTGTGTGGTGGAGAACAACTTAACAAGAAACTACGTGTGCAACTGCAGCAAGTAATAGGTTAAAGGTAATGTAAAAGGACATCACCTACGTTGCTGCGAGGAGCCCATTACGGGCCTTGGTTCACCCAAACAAACTTTGTCATAGTATGGAAGTTGATGGAAATATGAGACGTTCATGGAGATTAATCCTTTGATTAGTGGTATAGGTATATGTTTTCGCTCAAAATTTTGATAAGCATCACAATACTTCCATTGATATTACAATATACCGATGTATATTGTAACATTTCTATTCATACTTGAAGCCTCAAAGTTTGTGTGCTTGCAGCCTGGCGTCGTGTTAACTCTACATAGAGGCTGTTGAGGCCCGTATCCTTGATACGTATTGTGTCGGAATATGAGAATTTTTTCTTAGTGGGAAATAGCAAGGCATTGCAAAAATTTTGTTGGATCAAAAATTGAAATTTGATTTTTGAATTGGAAATTTTACACAAATATCAATTTAAAAGCCAGAAATTCATATTTTTCATTTCTTCAGACGAGATTCCAGTGGGTGCTCTAGGTTCTGCGTAAAATTGAGGTTTGAACGTATCTTTCTAGCGTCAGTCATTCATTATACACGGTATTCGGGATATCAGGGATTTTGAAATTACAGAATTATCAGTTCCACGCAACGCCAGGATAACCTGTTCACGAAACCCAATATAACGCTCAATACAAACCATACAGAATACATTTATCATTCACTAAACCCAATGGAAGCTGAATGTCTGAAGTGTGAATGTCAGATGAATGGAAGTTATATGGCAGAATGTCAGAAGAGAGAATGACAAAATTATAAATGTGAAAAGAGCAAATGTCAGAGGCGTAAATGTTACAGAGTGAATGTGAGAAGGATGAATGTGAAAAGAATGAATGTAAAAAGGGTGTATGAGAAAATAGTGAATGCGAAAATGGTGAATGTGAAAAGAGTGAATATGAAAATGGTGAATGCAAAAAGGGTGAATGTGAAAAGGGTGAATGTGAAAAGGGTAAATGTGAAAAGGGTGAATGTGAAAAGGGTGAATGCGAAAAGGGTGAATGCGAAAAGGGTGAATGTCAGTTCTGAGAGTTGAGGTCGCCCAGCAGCGAGTCTGATGTGCTCTCCAGCGCCAGCACCGTCCGCAGCGACTCCACCAGCTGATGTGGCTGCAACCAAACCATGGTTATGGTAGAGTAAGAGCTACAAACACAAAGTGGTTGAGAATAAATCATACCTCAGAAGAAGTGGTACTACATAACTTACTGCCTTTTAAGGGGAGGCTGTGTATAACCCCCGCCGTAGCACAACTGGCAGTGCATAACGCCCTGCTTATACATAACATTAATACAGCTTTCTTGGGTCACCTGGAAGTTGGCAAAAGCAACATCAGAGTCTGAGGAAGGAGCTGCTTCCGTAGACTTTAGTGCTGCCGTCAACTCTGCAATCATCTTCTGGTCATAGACACCTCGCTCCTCCCAGATGCTGAAGATACGAACGATTTTCGGACGTATCTTGTCATCTCTGCACAAATGAGATGTGCAATGATAGAACAAAATCATCGGCTGACCTGATGTAGTAAATTGATCCATCTTGTTACTAAAACTTTCTCTAACCAGAACAAGAATAATGATATATTTGCAAGAATACAATTCATTAATTTCAATCAGACATGAACATAAAATGAAAATTTTTTTTACAAATTCACAAGAGAATCATTGATTAACTAGGTATACAGAGCTTAATAATAGAGGCAAACTAGCTCAGGATTTTTATTTATGTGTCCCTAAGTATTCCATGTATAGAAGTTTCCCAGGTGCTAAAGTGGGATTTGACCTGACGAGTGGAGTGCCTTCCTTGATGGCAGAGAAGAATTCCTTCACAAGAGCCATGATCTTCTTGCGCTTGGCATTCTGTACAATTTCATTGGAGACGTAGAACAGTGTTAACCTGTGACTTACTTTGGCTGAAAATGAAAAAAAAAAAATAAAGCATTCAATTAGATAAAAAGTTCAGAATGACCTAAATATCTGATTTTTAGTGCTTTGTCTTGGCAGTACAATAAAAGGTAATTGTTTGAGCAACTGTTGTAGGTAACTGGTCTACTGCTGCAGAGTACTTGAACACATATTGAAAAGTATCTTCCCACACAGTCAAGAAGATTTTGAAATTTTACAGTAAGAATATTTCAAATCACAAAACAAATTCTACCACATTTGAAAAAAATTACATGTCCTACCAATCATGGCAAAACACCATTTGATTTCTGAGGCAAAGTCTAGAATTATTGTTTTGTTTCTTATTGCAAGTAATCCAATTTCACTTTGCTAAGGTACCTTATTTGATATAAAGATGAAAAACTTATGTAGCAAAAAACACATGAATAAAAGGTAGAAAAGCCAGTTTGTTTAAAGCTCCATGGAAATTAGTAATAGAAACAGTATACCGTACTAGGCAGCAAATTTCTAGAATGTACATTATGCTCAATTGCCATTTTAACTAAACTAATTCATTTATTGTTGCATTGTGTTCTCTAGGAATTATCTTCACCTACATTGGTCATGCATTTCAAAGAACTGAATACATTGTAAAAGTTGTAAAAGTTTACCAAACAGGAAATTCTGTTCAAAATTTAATGTTTCAGTAAAAATGGAAATAAAATATTGAATTAAAATATATTTAAAGCAATCTAAACCCCAGAAACACAGTAATAAATATCCATGCCTTTCCAGAAAGATTCTTAATATTTCATATTTGAAGCAAAGTAAGAGCATGAGATGAGCTACATAAATTTGGATAAAAATTACAAAAAATGATGCTTACATCAATGTGGCCAGATCCTCAGAGATAATGACAACATTACCAGCAGCAATTAACACTGTGGTGCTGAATGAACATGTTAATAACACTTATGAAACTAGCATTTCTAATCGTGAGGCACTCATGCCATATACCATAACAATTTTGGAGAAGGTTTCATCATGACTTAATTATCAAAAGTTTGAGAAGAAATTTTTGCACAATGACCTGCTAGGACTGAAAGGCTATTCATGAAAGCTTGTGGTCCAACAAAACAACTGACTTCTTATTGATTATACGAACTTGACTTGTAGTTGAGGTTTGGCTATTAAAGGTTAATACTTCTTCAGAGAAAAGTGCTGGAATTCTATGTATTGCAACCAAGAACTTAATTATATTAACTCCTGTCCCTCATACACAATAAATTACAAGCACCTCATAGTAAAGAAACTATACTGCTCTGTGATTTACATAATTAAAATATGATTTGTCTATTAAACCTTGTTTTATGCTAGAAAATAATTGGCTGAAAGAATTTATAGTACAATAAGGTCTCCAACATAAATTTTAATGCAGGAAGCACACAGTGAAAAAAGTTAATGTAAAAACACATGTTAAGTCCAAGAGATCAGAGTTTCATTAAAACAGCAATAAACTTGGGAAAGAAATTTGAATGCCTCCATACCTTTCTTGAGAGCCTTGAGCCAAGCATGTACCAAGGAGCTGTGATTTGCCTTGGCATGGATGCACCACCGGGATATGTTCTGAATATCTTCCGCTGTGTCCCGCAGGGAGCAGAACTTCTTCTCAAATGCCCGAGCATCCACCTTAGAGGGGCTGCTTGTGCCATTCTCAAGCTTACTCTTGCCTGTCATTCTGTAAAAAAAATCACAAGTCGTTTTATCATAGTAAAAAGTATGCTAGCATTAATTCCAGAAAATAGCTAAAAAACAACTGGTAACAAATGCTTACTTCAATTGCAAGAAGTATGGTACAGATAATTCTGGAGAAAAAGGTGACATTATACCAATATTGGGCTTCAAAGCAACAAAATTAATTTGTGAACTAAAAGCTGAGAAACTAAATCTAGCAGCCATCATTTTTCTGTTACCATGCAGCATAAAGTTTTACAATGTGGGCATAAACCAACATGGTTTGGTTGTCAACCACATGTCATTCCTAGTGCCAAGAGTGGGAGATTCTGATAACTGAGCCACACTATGCTACAACAATACTGTCAAACAGGGTAATAAGGTATGGGCGGGGTAAATCGGGACAGCCAATATTTGATGCAACAACTATAATCTTTGATGACAAGACTCTATCTTTGATTAAACAACATAATCTTTGATGCATAACACAATCTTTGATGACAAACCTCAATCTTTGATTAAACAACATAATCTTTAAAGATGCAACACAATCCTTGATGACACAACACAATCCTTGATGACACAAGACAATCTTTGATGACACAACACAATCCTTGATGACACAACACAATCCTTGATGACACAACACAATCTTTGATGACACCACACTATCCTTGATGACACCACACTATCCTTGATGACACAACACAATCTTTGATGACACAACACAATCCTTGATGACAACACAATCCTTGATGACAACACAATCCTTGATGACACAACACAATCTTTGATGACACAACACAATCCTTGATGACACAACACAATATTTGATGACACAACACAATCTTTGATGACACAACACAATCCTTGATGACACAATTTGATGACACAACACAATCCTTGATGACAACACAATCCTTGATGACACAACACAATTTTTGATGACACAACACAATCCTTGATGACACAACACAATCCTTGATGACAAACCACAATCCCGACAACAGTTCTTGATGATACAACAATCTCTGATGACACAATGATCTCTGAAAACTCTAAGTTCTCCAAGACTCTACTTCCTTAACATAAAAACCACAACAAAAGATGTCATCTGCTGTTGTATGTTAATGCTACCATTGAAGCACACTACTCTCTGACTGAGACTTCAATCTCTGACTGAGACTTCAATCTCTGACTGAGACTTCAATCTCTGACTGAGAATCCACTCTCTAACTGAGACTCCACTCTCTAACTGAGACTCCAATCTCTGATTGAGACTCCAATCTCTGACTGAGACTTCTATCTCTGACTGAGACTCCTATCTCTGACTGAGACTTCAATCTCTGACTGAGACTTCAATCTCTGACTGAGACTTCAATCTCAGACTGAGACTTCAATCTCTGACTAGATATCAATCTCTGTGTATACTTCAATCTCTGACTGAGACTTCAATATATGACTGAGACTTCCATCACTGACTGAGACTTCTATCTCTGACTGAGACTTCTAACTCTGACTGAGACTTCAATCTCTGACAGACTTCTATCTCAGGCTGAGACTTCAATCACAGACTGAAACTTCAATCTCAGACTGAGACTTCAATCTCAGACTGAGACTTCAATCTCAGACTGAGACTTCAATCTCAGACTGAGACTTCAATCTCAGACTGAGACTTCCATTTCAGACTGAAACTTCAATCTCAGACTGAGACTTCAATCTCAGACTGAGACTTCAATCTCTGACTAGATTTCAATCTTTGTGTATACTTCAATCTCTGACTAAAGCTTTAATCTCTGACCAAAGCTTCAATCACTAACCAAAGCTTTAATCTCTGACCAAAGCTTTAATCTCTGACCGAGGCTTCAATTGCTGACCAGAGCTTCAATCCCTGACCAGAGCTTCACTCTCTGACTCAAGCTTCAATCTATGACCAAAGCTTCAATATCTGACCAAAGCTTCAATCTCTGACCAAAGCTTCAATCTCTAACTCAAGCTTCAATATCTCACAAAAGCTTCAATATCTCACCAAAGCTTCAATATCTCACCAAAGCTTCAATCTCTAACCAAAGCTTCAATCTCTGACCAAAGCTTCAAATGAACTACTTTATTGTTTAGTATGACTAATAATATAATAATATCGTATTCTGTTTAGGTCCTGTCTCAAAGTGTTCCAGCAACATATTTTCCATTACTAATTATTCAAATGTATTAGGTAACTTGTGGTGCAGTTAGATATTGAATTGTTTGAATTCTAAACAAAGGTGGGACACCCGCATTCAGATGCCAGCACCAGCAGTGGCAATCAAAGGAACTACTTTATTGTTTTGTATGTTTACTATAATAATATAGTATTCTGCTTAGGCACAGTCTCTCAAAATGTTCCAGCAACATATTTTCCATTACTAATTATTTACATTTATTTGTGGTGCAGCAAAATATTGCGCTATTTGATGTCACAGTCAATGTACCACGTGTTCTTGTGTTGTGTGACGTCACCGAAGGCCTGCCCAGCTAGCCATATGTAAACAAAGCCACAGCAGTGAAGATGGAAACAGTTTGGCATTGCAATCGATGGTTATTTGTGAATAATATTTTTGATTGTGATATTATAACATATTTCTGATTGTGAAATAATTTTGATTGTGATATATACACTTGACAGTAGTGTCAACATTTGAACATCGAAGCGCTAACATCATGAGTAACGAGGTAAAAGTAAAAGGACTGAGTAGAGCTGGCAACATGGCTGATGCTTAACCGATGTCATTGTCATTTTTTACGTTATTGATATCATTCTGGAACCAACATAAGTAACTAAGGAATTTCCCAGTTCAAATATTTATTGATTTTTTATATCAATTTCAAAACTCCACATATTTCTAGAGGGAGTTGTGATGAGACCATGGGGTTGAACCGTTGAGTTTAGACCATTGCAACTTGCAAGAGGGGCCCAAGGGCCAAGGGCATGGGGCCTTGCAAAGGGTAAGACCGCCGCACGGCGGTGGACTGCCATAAGGACATCTCTTCATAGAATTCCACTATGCTGACGTCTGTGGACGCTGCACTTCAGTTACCCGATAGCTGTCATGTGGGAAGGTGCTCATGCAGAAGATGTCTTTCTCTCCATCTGTGACTGAATTTGAGCTCAAGTAAAGCCTAGCCTGGCATCCTTGCACCTTGAATGCTTTTTAAAGCATGTTGCGGAACATTGGGGCTTTGTTACGTTCTACTGAACATTCACACTTAATGTCATTGCAAACCTATCTCCTACTCTTCCTGGAGTTGTTAAGTTGCAGCAATGAGAGATACGTAAACCATTTGATTTGCAAAGAAATGATCTAGAGAATTGTGCAGACATTTTTCTAATTTTGTTATAGTTTGGATTTTATTTTGCAAAAAGGAGGGGTGGCCGGGGGGTAAAATTTAAAAATTTAAGAAAAATACGCCCATGCCTACAAAAATGAAAATATCAAAAAGCGCCTGCACAGATTTTTAGATATGGTCTTTATGCATCGAATGATATATGTCTCAATGTTGTAGCTTGAAAATCCTAGGAGAAGATAGATTTCTACAGTACCCCATTTTTAGCACATTTTCTCATTTATGGAAAAATTGCACTACAGCAATCCCTTGATTAACACGGTTAATAAATCCCCGAGTTTTACCGTGTTAAGCAAAACCGCGCTAATCAAACTCAAGAATATATGGGAATAATTATAATGAATCCTCAAAAATAGCAGTTACATAATAATTTTTTTTCCCACTAAAATTCATCATATTTTTTTCTAAATAATAGGGGAAATCAATAAAAGAGATGCGAATGAATCAACATTTATTTTTTACTGAAAAACGAATCCAATTTCAATTGCACAGTAGTATAAGATTTCTTTCTCTCCTGCATAATTGTGCGATAGCAATTCACTTGCCTATCTAGGCCACGGCAAACATTCATGCTTCTTTCTTCATTTGGGTCTACTTCTCTTATGATTTCTTTAGTTTTTTCAATTGCAGTGAGTAATTGAGTTGAAGGCTAACGAGTAACTAGAGCACCGGCATGGCGCACTTACCGGCAAACGTTGCCGAACTCAACCATTCGAGTTATGAACGAGACAAGGCGCGGTTAAACCGACTCTGTAGTCAGCACAAGTGCCTACGGAACGGGACCTTATTTAAAGAATTATTGGCTGAAATTCATAGAATAACAACATTTGGCAAATTTTTCCAAAAGTCGTTACAAAAGTATCAACATAAGATCTAATACAGCAAAAAGTAACACTTTTGTTACAAACGCAACACCTCTGGCTAGAGGCGGGAAAATGATGCGTTGTTAAAAAAATCATGCTAATCAAAACTGGCACTGCTTAGATTAAGGGTAGGTCACACATTTTTTTTCTGCATTAATCAAAACCGTTGTATTCAAAACCATGCTAATCAAGGGATTGCTGTATTGTGCTCGCCATGTCCATCCATCTGTCCGTGACTTCATGTTTTTGTCAATGAGAAAATGTGTTCTCTGTCACTCACTGCAGTGAGTACTGAGTTACTGACATGAATATTAGCTGTCTATTTTTTGGGTTTTACAAATGTGTACCAAGTTTCAAAGTGCTCCGTCTGTAAATAGCTGAGATAGAATTTTGGCCAGATGCTCCCCTTGATAATTAGTTAACCAGTATTAGATAATTCATCTAGTGTCAAGCTGGAATATTGGGCAGAATTTTTCTAAATTACCTTTTAAAAATATTGGTCCATATCTTCATGGGTGATTTCTGAAAGTGGCTGGTAAAAATAGAATTTTTTTTATTTATCACTGCAGAAATAGTGAGAAGATAATAGACATTTTATGTCTTGATACGTGGGTAGTTTCTGCTAAATTTTATAGTTTGGATCTAACAGGAATTGAATGTTACTGGTTATAAATGTTCAGAAATTGCTAATTGCATATCAAAAAGTATACCATCAAACAGGGTAATAAGGGACTGGTGGGTATACAAGAACAGTCCTCATCACCAGACTGGAATATCAGGCAGAAGCCATACGTGGAAGAGCAAAAATCACTTGTGCATGTGGGAAAATTTTACCCGTGGCCATGGCCATGGATAATTTCACCCGTAGCATGGATAAATTTAACCATGCCCAGAGAGCTACAATTTCACCAGTAATGGCCAAAAGTCTTCATTACCCGTAAGGCTGTACCGGTACCTACAAGCAGCAGTTGCAACTCTGTAAGCAGCAGTTGCNATTTTTTAATTAAGCTCGTTCCGAGCTGTGTCGTATTCTGATACAGCTCACACCTGTCTCTTATACACATCTAGATGTGTATAAGAGACAGTCCGTATACTGTTATTGTTAGTAGGCTAATTGCAACATAAAAAATAACACATCAAAAAGACAAAAAAGTTGAAAAAATCAAAAAAATCAAATAAATATAAAAAAAATCATGAAAAAATAAAAAAAAAATCATTGATTTTAGATTTTTTTGATTTTTTTAAAAAAATCAAAAAAATCGCCAACCCTGATAATGTATGATGCGTTGTAGTAGAGTTATGAATTTAAAGTTATGAATTTCAAAAAAGCGTAAATTAGAACATTGAAAATCCATGCTAAAAATTAGGTTTTTAAAATCAACCTCATGACAAACTTGCAAACATTTAACTTTGTTTTTGCATGTTTGTTTGGACATTGATTGTGTTCAGCTAGTGGTCATGTCAGAAAGCCTGAGAGAATAGTAGTCACTTTCAGTTATATGAGCAGCCAAATCGCGATAAACAAAACTATTCAATTAAAAATTTCTATAGAGTTAGTAAAAACACGTCTTACTGATCAACTTCTCATACAAATTTTGATTAAACACATTGGACAATCCATGTTCTTATCAGATCCAAATGTCACTCCTTGCATAATTTTATATAATTAATACTTACATAAAATATTACATTTCTATTGATAAAAATGACACAGTTAACAACATTAATGCATGACAGCTAATGCCAATTTGAATTATTCTGTAAATTAAGGGGAGTGTCTGGCCAAAATTTTACCTTGGCTATTTACAGATGGAAACTTTGAAACTTGGTACACATATGTGAAAGAGAAAATAAAATACTTAAAAAAAGGCAGATTTATGATTAAAGCAAAAAGCACACAACACACGAATTTTGGAAGTTTGATGGTGAATGTACAGCCCGACCCACGTTTTTTGGGGCGAGCCATAATTTATTTTCTACTTTTT